GTGCCCACAGAAAGGGCCCCGCGTGCCACCTGTGGCACGCGTGCCATAGGTTCGCCATCACTGCCTTAGATTATATTTTTTTTATAAACTTTTTTTTTATTAAACAAACAAGAGTTTGTGAAGAAAGATTACATTAACAAAATATCTGTACATATTTCAATATGATTAGATCTAAATAGCTACTTTTTCATATTGCAACATTGTTATTGTTTTTGCTATAACTATTGGTTACACATACTCTTACCATAGAATTCAATATAAGATACTGATTTATATCCCGTTTTAAATGACAGCTGTTCAGGCGACGTGCCCCTACAACAGTGTGGGGACCTTAAATAATTCGGTGGGACCTAATGCAGGTCCCCACCCATGACCGGCGGGTGGGGACCTTAATTACATAAATAATGGGGGGGGGGCTATTGTCCCTCCGGCCCCCACCCATGAATGGCAGGTAGGGGCCCTAAGTAACAAAAGGCGGGGATCTTTTGTCTCCCCACCCACCCATGAGCAGTGGGTGGGAGCTAAATATAAAAAAAAAAACACCCCCCCTCCACAAGTGACTAGGGATCCCCTAGCCACACCCCCCCTAAAAAAAAGATCAATTTTGCCGCCCCCTCATGTCACTCTCTCACTGACAGACACACAGAAACTCGCTGGCAGACTCATAGACACTCACTGACATACATACATACACTCACTCACTGACAGACACACAAACACACTCACTGACAGTCAAACACTCACACACTTACTGACATACATACACACACACACACAAACACACTCACTGACACACAGACTGACATCCAGTCTCCTTACCTCCCTGGGGTTCAGTGTGGGGCAGCTCCTCACTCCTCCAGCACGCCGTTTAGTATGCCGGGGCTGGAATGACGTCATATTCCGGCTCCCGGCATCACAGAGGGCTCGAGGGAGGAGTTGGAAGCTGCAAGAAGAGCCTTCCTCGCCACACTGCCGCTGCCTGCCTCCTCTCCTCCGGCATTCATTGGTAGAGCAGGTGCCTGATCTGACATACCGATTAAAGAATAGCTTCCTGGGCCCCCTGTGACAAGGCTCCTCCGGGAGCCCCCATTTTCGGGTGCCTGGAGGATCGGCCCAGCGCTGAGGGGGCCGGCTCTGGATCAGCTCACCTAGCGCTGCTGCTCAGGACAGGGGGAGCCCACCAGGAAATATCCCGGTGGATGCCCCCAGCAGGCTGGCGCCCTAGGCGAATGCCTAGTTCGCCTAACGGTGGCGCCAGCCCTGCCTGTATATAAAAGAAATTTATACTTACCATTAGATGTCTTCTTTTTTTCTTAAACCTTCTTTTTTCAGCCCCAAAAAAGGTCAAATAAAAAGCCATAATTTCCGTTGAATGTTTTAAAAAAAAAAACAGATGCCCAAAAAATAATCTATCTTCACCCAACGAAGGCACCGCACAGACTGAGCTCTGCAGGGCAGGAAAAGGCTTATAAAACCTTCCCACGCCCTGCAATTTGACTCAGAGCACTCTGATTGGTTGATTCCAAGCCAACCAATCAGAGTGCTCTGACAGGTAAATGAAAAGACTGACAAGTATCTATTTAAGTTATTACAGACATGAGAGGTGAATATAAGTATTATATCACATTAGGAATATATATAGGTAATACTATTTCATCTCCTTCTGTAATGATACTAATAAGAAAAGATTATATCCCTTTTGTAACAATTTTGATACTATATGTAGTTTATATTTGCATGTACATTTTAGCAAGCACTATATAATTATACGTGTTTTTAATTTTTTTTCCTGATATGACACTGCAATCTTTGATTTAATGGACTTTCATTTGTCTGGACTTTTATAAGCAAGGTGCCTTTAACAGCACCGATAATTTGATTCATGCAAAAAGGGTATATATTTGTGAGATTTTTTTCCGCGTCATTCTATCTTGAGAAAGCCTAGTCTCACAGGCAAAATGCGTGGATCGTTGTTTTGGCGGCATTTTCAAACTTTGAAGGCTAGGATGTCAGCATAACGAGACTGTAGAACCAGGGGCGTACCTAGAGCATTTGGCACCCGGGGCGGATCCTGTGCTTGGCACCCCCCCACCCCACCCAAAAAAAAAAAAAAAAAACCTGTAAAAAATGTTAAAGGTTTTCTTTCCTTTTTTTTTACAATTTGTAAACTTTGCAAAACCGCTGTCAGCCCCTCCTACAAAACCCTTGTCCTGCCCTGCTCCTCCTACAAAACCTCTGTCCTGCCCCTTCTACAAATCCTGTACTGCCCAGTCTACAAAACCCCCGCAACCCCCTTCCACAAATCCCCTGCTTATCCCCCCTTATAAAGACTCCTGTCCCAATACAAAACCCCCGCCCCTTCTACAAAACCCTGCAGCCCCACAAACACATTTACAGACAGACAGAAACACACACTCAGTTACAGGCAGACAGTCACACACAGTCACAGGCAGACAGTCACACACAGTCACAGGCAGACAGTCACACATACACATTTCCTCCGTGCAGCCAGTTTATCAGCTGTTTGCTTGTGTGAGCTGTACTGGCCGCACGGCACCCTAACTACCATGGGACACTGTGCGGCCACAGCTCACACAGCCCCCTCCAGCCAGGGCCGGTGCAAGGATTTTTGCCGCCCTAGGCAAAAGTAAAGTTTGCGGCCCCCCCCCCCATGTGACATCACAATGTCCCACCCATATGATTTTCCATGTTAACTAACGCCAGTGCTGCAGTGCCGCCGTATTTACATTAAAAGGCCTGCAGGGACAGGCTATAGACACCAGAACCACTACATTAAGCTGAAGTGGTTCTGGGGACTATAGTGTTTCTTTAATGTGAGGTAAATTAGAGCTTAGTGCCACGAATAATATACTAGATTGCCTACTTACAACCAGATGAGGATGATGATGGGCTCTAGCTGCAGTCTGGCTCACTGGTCTGGTGCAGCTGGGCTCTCTGGGCCAGGTTTGTAACTGTGGTCACAAAAATCAATGTTCTGGGAGAGCCGGGGAGGCAGCTTTCGATTTTTGGAATTTACTTTTACAGCTCAAGGTCTGGGTCCCAGGTCACCTTCATGTTCCACCAATGAGTTTGTTCACAGGGGTGGAGTGTGTGAGATGTCC